ATCCAATATTTTTCTCTCTTTTTTCTACTTTTCATACTTTTTCTGAGCACTGGCCACTCATTGGAAATGAATTTGATCTCTCCTTGCATGTGGGTGTAGCATGACTTAGTACAACAGGATGGCAGGTAAATAAGTTGGCCTATCTTATAAAAGTACCTTAATTTATGAGGTAATAAAATAATTTGGAAGTTTCTTTTGAAAGAGATGCTTTTTTTTTTTCCCCCTGAAAATTGTCCTTTAAACAGACTTCAGAAGGTGATGAGTTCTTTTCTGTTCTAATAACTTTTATGAGCCTATTTTTATGAGAAACAAACCTTGCAATCAGCATTAAGATTTCCCATTTATGCCTTCACTAAAGCATATTCAGTTAACTACAAAATGTCACTTGTCCAGAGCAGATGTTTGGGTATCACAAGCTGGTGTTGAGCTGCCCTTTAGCAGACTTGCATCAGTTCACTGCATTTCACCTGACCCAGAGTATGGTCCAGCACCACCTCTCAAGCATTTCGCAAGAAAAGTAATATAACAGAATTTCTTTAGGAAGACGGAGATTAGAACAGATCAAGGTTAAGGATTCCAGGTTTAGGATTTTTGGGTTTTCTTGTCTCATTTATTGTTGCACTTGTGAGGCAGGTCTTCACACTGACCTGTTTTTATGTGGTTTTTAATACCTCCCAATTTATGTATTAAAGCCTCACCAAACCACCTCGAATGCCAGGCAGCAATTTCCACCCGTGACACTTGGTATGCAAATATACACATTACAAGTCATGGAGAACTTTTCCTACAGCTGTTGAAGATGCACGTTCAGAAAGTCTTTAATAATGAAACCACTGTTGCACTGCAGTAATGAAAAATTCCTTCAGGGATGTTTTCCCCGGCAGGGACAGAGTGTAATGCAAACCCCTGAATTCAGAAAGGGTGGGTGTTTTTGTTCTTTTTTTAATCTTTGGTCTTTCTTCCCTTCTCGATTCTCTCAAACACTTTCTCCCTTCTTTCTGCTCCTGTGTCAGCTGCTGCCTGGCAACTTTTCTCTGTCTGGTGGGACAGGGCAGGGCACCCGACTGCCTTTGGACTGGCTGCCAACACCATTCCCTAGCAACCCAGTGGGGCACTCGTGATGCTCCCCAAAGGGCCGCACACATCGCCAGCAACCTTCACACCTACTGCCCCTGTCACATCAGTCAGTGGGCTAATCATCAAGGTGACCATCCCTACCCACACACCTACTTGAAGGCCATGGCTGATACACAATAAATAACAGCACAACCCAATTTTTAGTGATGCAATCAAGGTAGTTTCATAGTGACTAATGCCAGAATCACCTTTTGCTGATAATTAATATTCCTGTGTTGTGTTATACCAGCAAGTACAAATGATTGGTTCTACTTTGTTTAATTTATCTCAATAAGAGATTTCATAATATTCTATAGCTTGATGAATTAATTTATTTAACTTGTCAGAGTTAATAACTCTGATTGGAAGGAAGAAGTTATAAAGTACCATAGGTGCAAACAGATCTCTAGCAGCAGTTTTAACTTTGAATTTACTTCTGACAAGAATTTCACTCCAGTCTCCTATATAATTAAGTTTTTTTCTAGTTGTAACAAGGAAAAGAGATTCCCTCAATTCCTTTCTGTCTCTCTCCTCTCTGTCTGCTCTCTGTTCAACTCCCCAGTGCTTCTGGTTTGGTTCTGTCAAATGGGACTGACTGGAGACTTCAATAAACATTTGACAAACTAGTCTGGTTCCTGCTCTGTGTATCTGCCACCCGTCCTGCGTTTCTCAGCGTTCGGCCACCACGCAGAAATCTGAACACAGTTGTGTGCCTGCAAACAACAGCAGGGAGGCTGGAAATGAAGAAACTGCTACCAGCAAAAATCGTCATTCCTTTTTTTTCCTCAAGTCTGAGGTTTAGGAAAAGCATGTCATACAGCAGGTGGTTGCTTAAGGCATCTGAATTATAATATGGGTATAGACGCTGCTTGGACTCCAGTGACTTCAGCAAATGTTTTTAGGTTTATTCATAGAAGATATACATTGAAACTTACATACAGGTCTTGGTGCAGCCTTTTTTTTATGTGGAAAGGAGATATGAGAGTGCCAGTTACTTCTATGCATTTTCGCTGTATTGTTGAGGTTGTCCCATCCCATCATATAGAGATGTCCCATCCTTCCATCACTTCATAGCGAGCAATATTTAAAGGAAATGATGCTGAGGGGAATGATTTATCAAAGGTCAACTTTTATTTGTTCAGCAGCCTGTATTTGAAAACCAGGTTTCTATGAGAATTATCACCTCATGGCATTATCTTAAAGCCAGCTACATTTTTAGGCAGCAATTTGACAAATGATTACTTACAGGTAATTGGGGTTTTAGTCATAATTCTGGCTGCATACTCTGTATCGACACTTTATGTCCTGTAAACAAGGAGGCCATTGACTTTTATTATGAATATTATTTAAATATTTTAATGAGTTTATGTGCATATGTGATCAGCAGTATTGAAAGCAAGACCAATCAATTCTTCAAAGCCTCCCATAAATGTTCATGTTTAAAATGGGCACTAAATGGCACTGTATCATTAAAGGAAATTATTCAAGGAGGGTAGTGAGGACTGTGGCTAAATAAGTATGGAATAAGAATGAAAAGGAGCAAATTAGATGGTTGAAAAGCAAGATTTTAGTTGAGGAGCTTTTGTGAGGAGGCACGAAAGGGCAGCACGCCAATTAACAGATAATGTTTGGGGGAAAAGCATGACCACTTGTAACCTTGTAGACTTTGAGACTTTTGCAGAAGATGGAAGAAGTCGAAAGAAGGCTGGTCTGTAAAGACAGTTCTGTATCCTGAGAATTCTGGGACAGCATGTTCGCTGTGAATATGTGCCTTTATACCACGTGACAGTCCTGGCATGTGGGAAATGTCACTGATTTAAGCAGGAGTTCCTTAAAACTTGGAATTCCCTTGTTTTCCTTCACACATTTTCTCACTTGGCTCTACCATCTACATATTTTCCCACTTGAAATGCAAAAGGTTGCTCAAATAAAATCACAGTTAATGCCTAAGAGCCGTGTAGGTAGCTTGGAGGGGTTGCGGGAGGACACAGAGCAATCTCATCCATAAACAACGGTAGAACGATGTTCCAATGTGACATCCAGCATGACTTCATTTTGGTTATAAAAACAACTGATTTCCAAGACACTGCCAGATTTTCTAGCCTTAATTCAGATCTGTTTCTGTATTAGCAAAGGTTTTCTACTCTGGGATCCATAATTCTGCTCAGTTATGACTGTATAAATACTGATTGACTGAAGGGGAATTACACAGGCTTTAAAGGCAGTAGCTAAATGCAGAATTTGATCCAACTGCATTTTTTCTCTTTGGCTGTAAATTGTTTGCAGTAATAAAGTGACCTGCACCCTTCTATGAGTCCCACCAGTCCCCGACCTCAGAGGTGACCCTGAGACCCAGGTTGGGCTCTTTGGTTCTTGGGCAAACAGGGCCCTTCCCGCAGCTTAACAGAATTAATGAAATATTTGACATTTATCCTAGGTTGTGTATTGTTCTGTCCTTTAGCATCACTTCATCTTTCTGGCCCTGGAAGCTTCTTGGCTGTGCTGCTTCATATAAAAGATATTTAGGTTCTGTGCTGTGGGTATAAACAGGGAGGTGAAAGAGCTGAGGTTTTACCCTCGGAATGCGAAGGTCTCAGCCGTCAATTTTAGTGCCTGGCTGTCTCTGGAGAAAACTAATAACTCAGGACGATGCAAAAGTTTTAACACCTTTCTCCTGTTAAAGGGCCTGGTTTAAAAAAAAAAAATAAATGTGAGAAGATGTGATAAGCAAACTGTATTTATGTTATGAGATAATTTCAAGCTAATACTCTTACGTAAAGTCACAAAAGCCAAAGCAGTGAACAAGTATTGGCTGGGAGCTCAGACCTACCTCAAGACAACTAAGAGCACTTATAGTACATTGAGTAATCATTGGTGTTTTGAGATGGCACTGTGTTATTAAAGTAGTATGAAAAAAAAAAATGCCCCATTCAAGGCCGAGTTGGATGGGGCTTGGAGCAGCCTGGTCTAGTGGAAAGTGTCCCTGCCCATGGCAGGGAAGTGGAACAAGATGGTCTTTAAGGTCTCTTCCAACTCAAACCTTTCCATGATTCTATGAAGCATCACTAACCAAAGTCAAGTTTGGCAGAGCAGCTTTGGACATTAGCTTTTCATCCACAGCCCAAAGACATGCATCCCCTTCCCTCAGCACCACCATCCCTGCAGCTTTACATGGCACATGGGTTTGTGGGGTTTCTTTTTTTCTTTAATCTTTTTTTTTTTCTTTTTGCTGACTCACCCACCCCAGCCTCCCGCGAGTTTGCCTTTGCCAACTTAAAACAAAAGAATCACCTCAGATTCTTAAGAGAAAACCCACAGCCCCAAGCGAGGCAGGAAGGGACAGGGACAGGGGCTGATGGGCGCATCCGGTGAGGCGGCTTCGCGCCTGGCGCTCAGCGCACTGGGCAGTGCGGGACAGCGTGCGGGGCTGTGCGGGGCGGTGCAGGGAGATGCGCGGGGCGGTGCGAGGCGGTGCGGGGCTGTGCAGGGTAGTGCGGGGCAGTGCGTGGCTGTGCGGGGCAGTGCAGAACAGTGTGCGGGGCGGTACATGGGGCGGTGTGCGCAGCTGTGCGGGACAGTGCGGGGTGGTGCTGGGCAGTGCAGAGCGGTGAGCGGGGCGGTGCGTGGCTGTGCGGGGCAGTGCAGGGCGGTGCGTGACTGTGCGGGGCAGTGCGCGGGGCGGTGCGTGGCTGCACGGGGGCAGTGCAGGGCGGTACGCGGGGCAGTGCAGGGCGGTACGCAGGGCCGTGCGGGGCGGTGCGCGGGGCGGTGCGGGGCGGTGCGCGGGGCGGAGCGCGGCTCTGCCGGCCGCCGGCGCCCCGCGCTGCCCGCTCGCTGCGTGCGGCGAGCCCAGCCGCGCTCCGCGCTCCTAAGTGCCGGCGGTGCCCGCGGCTCCTCCCGCACAGGCTCCGCCGCTCCGCACCCGCGGCCGACAGGCTCGGCTCCTGCCTCTCCTGCCTTGCTCCCGCCGCGATGTCCGCGCTGCTCCTGGCGCTGGCGATGCTCTGGGGATTACCGCCCGTCGCGGAGGCGCTGACAGCGGCAGCCCGCGGAGGTAAGGGCGCGTCCGCGGAGTCCCGCGGTGCCGGCTTCTCCCGGGGAATAAGTTTTGCTCCTCGGCGCCTTGCGCGGGGGCGGCCGCGGCTGCGGAGCGCTCCCCTCTTCCCATCCCCTCTTTCCGCGCTGCCCTCCACGCGCTCCCCTTGCCGCGGTCCCTGTTCGTGCTCCCTCTCCGCGCTCCCGCACGACTGGGCTGCGGGGCGAGCCCTCGGCGACGACGAGTGTATGGAGGCGAGCAGCGGGATGATGTCCCGCAGTGATCTGGGTTGCCTCACCACGCACTTCCCGCGGGGTGCGTTCCTGGGAACCGCCGCCGCTGCTGCGGAGCGTCCCGGTCCCGGTCGGGGCTCCCCGAGCCGGTCCCGTGGCCAGGCGGCGATGGTGCCGCAGGAGCGGCGAGCGCCCTGCGCTTCCCCGAGCCTTCCAAAAGTTCCCTCCTCAGTTTTCCCCGAGTTGCCGCTCGCTCGGTCCCTGAACTTGGATTTGGGCAGCGGGGCTCGGGGGAGCCGGCGCGGGGGCTCGGGGGTCCCGCAGCCGCGGGGTGGGCGATCGCGAAACTTCCAGCTCTGCTCCGCTCCTCAGAAGTCTCTAATCCAGGAGGGTGGCGGTCCTCCCGCCGGAGCGGGGCTCGGGGGTTCGTGTCGCTTATTATACAGTCACCAGACCTCTCTTATTTTCCTGGGAGATGTTTGAATTGGGTATTTTCTAAGTACAGCCCAAGTCCCCGTTCTGTGCGGCTCAGGTGCGGGAACAGCAACGTGCTGCTCTGACTCAGGTTTTCTTACCGCTGTAGAAAACACTGCCTGTCAGAAAACTGTCTGTCGGCTTGCTGTAGCCCTTCAGCTTCAAAACTGCGTGTTCTCATGAATGAGATGCCCTGGGTGGTGTTGTACCCCGTCTGAGAGGATTTAGCTGGATTTCAGTAGAAATGTAACTCTGTAAAGGCTTGAATTCTCACTGTTAGACATTCAGCTCCTCTCCATCACGCACACACTACCTCCTAAATTGTTTACTAACTGCTTACAACTCGTTCGGGTGAGTGCGGGTGTGTCTGGATAGTCGGTCTGGGGTATAGATTTCTGCTTCACCCGAAATACCAAACCTCTCCGGTCCCTTTCTCATGTATCTGTCAGAATTACACAGGTGATTCATGCTGTAAAAATGAGAAATAACTACCTATCAAAGAGAAAAGTCTTGCTGCTGCATCACAAACTTGTCTGTTTAAAACGCTGCATCACAAGGTGCAAGGATACTGCAAGGAAATGAGGATAGTATTCCATGGAAAGGCTCTTAGGAAATCTTTTCAGTTTTCTGAAGGGTACATATGCTTTTGCTTTGGTTCACAAAGATTCGTGGTCGTGGTGGTGCTTGTTTGATGGAAAATATTTCAAGAACTTTCCATGGTATTTGCAAAATGGTCAGATTAGATTTCAGCAGCTCTAGTGTGCATCTGATCTTATGAATAAAAATCAAACTTCCAAACGTTTTGTGGAATTGTTCTGGAAACTGATTTGTTGCTCTGTCTTCCTTGATAGAGATAAGTAAGTGCCAATTATACATGAATATTAATTTCTGGTATTTAAATTTTGCTTCATTTTCCCTTTGGTGTCCTTTTTTTTTTCCCCATAGTTACCTTGCTCTGATTTAGTGTTTCGCAAGAAAAAAAAAAAAAGTGCTGTCAGCCTATATTAAAATCAATCCTGTCTTAAAAGGCAGCATCCTTGTAAATCATACCAGCCCAAAAAGTGGGATAAATCAAATTTACTTAGAATCAACTAACTCATCATATCATAATGTCATGTCTTATCAAAACCGAGTGCTGCACAAATTAAGACTTAAAAGGCATTTTGTTTAAAAAAAATGTCAAGTGGTCTCAACCTAAAAGGGATTCAGGATGAGGCATCCAGAAAGGGAATTACATTTGCACATCAGATAAACTTTATGATACAGTGCAAAAATTATTGACCATACCAAGCTGATTTTCCTTTACAGGAGGAAATTCTGAGTCTCTGGAGCATGCTCAGCTTAATATATGTGAAAGGCATTGAAATTTGGAATGCACTGAGGCTCGCCATTGGTAATAAGAGAATTGGGAAAATGTCATGGGTTGTGTTAATAGCAGTGTTGTGGTAGCCATGGTAATATAAAATACTAGTGAGGTGCTGTAGGGAGAGGTAACACCTTCTGTTATACCAATGGATAACATCAGGGGGGAAAAGAAGAGGTGGTGGGGGGAACCCCACCGAAGTTTGAATTATCGAAACCTTTTCTCTGCATTTGAAATACAATTAAATTCTTCCAGTCTTATCAGGTCTGTTCTCAGCCAGGTTACAGCTCCTCTAATTTTATGTATAAAAAAACATTGTGAAGAGAAAATGACATGGAGATGGGGAGCTGGAAATGAGATGGGAAAAGGAAGTGAGGAGTGTGATAGGATAAGGGATAAGTCCTGCAGCTGAGGTTGTGCCACTTTAAGCCATAAAGAGGTATGATTTCCTCTCCTTGTGCTTCAGTCCTTCTTTTCCTGAGGAAACTGATGGACCCAGATTCCTTGCAACAGTTGCAACTCCGTCACAGGATAACTGCAAAAAATGGATTTCAGAAGTCTGGGAGAAACCTTGCTAACGGCTCAGGAAGCTGAGAACACATTTGTTACCTGCTCTCCCTACAGACGTGCAGGGAAACTTCACAGGTCCCGCCGGTACTCTGTGGTTGTGGTGGGCGTGTTTCCCTCTCACAGCTCTCCCCAGCCTTGGAGCTTCACCCTGGCTCCGTGCCTAGTCTCCTGCACCCCTTTTCTCTCATCCTTGTTTGGTTTTTGTGTCTCTGCTGCTGCGAGCAGTGTTACATGGATCCACTGTACTAATTGGCATGATTACCTAGAGGCGATCCAAATTACATAGATGTCCCAGATAATAGGAGCTTGATTGGATAATCTCCACAAGCGGGTGGTGTTGTCAGTGAGATGTGTATCCACACCAGTATTAATGGGTGGCATTGCTCCTTATGAATCGACTTGCTGTCTGTGGTGGGACTGCTGCCTTGTTTGTGTCTGGTTTTGGTGTCACATCATCCCTGTCAGCAGCACTGAGCTGCCCTCTCGCTATGGAGTCTTTCACGTGAGGTTTTAGTGTTTTGGAGCTAAAAAAACCTGCAGGTGCTGGTGTGGTGAAACAGCTCGTCAGCAAAGTCTTGCAAGAGATGCTCCTGCAAAGGGAGACTTTACACAGGATGGGAAAATGTTGCCATATAACTTAAAACTGAAGTTCCCTGGGTGATATAACTGGGTTTTGTTATAATTTAAAAGCTGTTTTAAAGAAGGAAAGACAAATCTTTGTGAATGCTACTCCTCTTCAGAGTCACAAACGCTTCCAAAACTTCTGTCTTCATTCCACTTAGCAGGGAATTTACTGGCTTTGCAGTGTCTTTTGACCATATTTAAGTGAAAGCTGGAAGCAAATTACTTTGAAGTCGAGTTTTCAGGCTTAAGGTTAGGCTGATGTGAGTTTGGCTTACTCACCCCTGTAGCAGAAACACAAAACAAGTAAAATAAATTTGTCTCCTTGGGATAACTGCTGATGGCCTTCATTCCCTGGTGAGGTGTCACAGCAGGTGACACTTGACTACATCAGGAGGCTTTACAACTACCTCGTTATTAGTAGCTTTATTCTGGAACCCGGGTGTACCAGCACTGCTGCACTTCACCAGACTGAGATCTAGCTTGGCCATCTGTTGGAAAGTATTCTTAAAAACCCTAAAAAAGCTGTTTCTGTGCTGTACAACAGAGGTGTGTGTTCCCATAACTAAGTTGGTTATGTCCTGAACCTAGGATAATAAGTATTAGTGTCTTACATGCAAAAGAGATGCCTCCATGGTCACAATGACTTTGCTGTTTATTTATTTACCCTAAAGAACAATATTACGTAAGAACTTGCCTGTCATTGGACAGGTAAAATTACAGAGGTGGGTGAAAATATATGTAGAGGAATTTGGGACACTACATGGAAGCATGTGTGATAAGAGTTAATGAGAGACAGAAATTGTGGGAGATGTCCACAAGTGCAGTTTCAGTGGCTGGTTGGTTTTGTAGGTGCTCAGTGGTGTGTGTACGTCCTCACACTAACCCCTGACACTTCTGGAGCCTTAGGAAACTCTTTGTGTGGGTTTCTGTGAACAGACATGCATGTTTTCTCTTACCTGGGTTGTTCTTTCAAGTTCAGAGGTCTTGAAGAGCTGTAGTTTAATAAAAAAGAAAGCGGTAGAGACACACAAAGTATTTAAAGGGTAAGATGCATTTCAAAGTTCAAAAGTAGGTGTTTGATGTGAAAAGACTATATGTAAACTTGTTCTGAAGCAAGCCTTTTACTAATTTATCATAGAGCTTCTGCTGATGCTCTGGCATGTTGAAGTAGCTGTCCTCCAAAGACTGGGAGAGCAGCTCTTACTTCACACAGTGCTACTTGTGAAGTGTTCAGTGACTGCTGCTATGTAAATCTGAGCATATGCCATACCTTTGAGGTTCATATGGACCCCGATCCTTCTGCATTTGAAGTGGCAAAACTCACATTGACTTCAGTCTGCAGATTGGAGACACGTGTGTTCCTCTAGCACCTTCTTAACAGGTCTTTTTATTTGCAGTTGAAGAAAATAGGCTTCTCTTCACTGCATTGGCTCTAAGGACGTATGTCATTTTAGCTCATAAATATAGAATTATGGCTTTCTTTAGAAATGCTGGTAATTTAGATAATAGAACATTGTTTTTGTTACAGTAGCATATTTGGAATCCCAGCATGTTGTTGCTTCTTCCTAGTTTTTATGTATTAATCTGTTGTTTAATAGTCTTGTTCTTCAAATGCAATTAAAAATTTTTGCTTAGAGAACTCATTTTAATTGCACTTACTCAAAACATTCTTAATGATGAACAGTGAAGATGAAAATAGCAGAACTTGGCTACTTTTATGCAAGTCATCCAGACTATTGAGTCTGTATTTAATG